GAGTGTGTTGTACAAAAAGTTTCCAGTCATAAAATGTATATTACAAATCATTGAAAAAGACAAGACATTTGGCATGCATATTCTAAAAAGAAAAAAAAAACCACTTTGAAATGATAAAGTCTAGATCATTATGTAATTTTCATAAGTTCCATGTGAACATTTTCATAATTTTGTCTTTGTATTCCAGTTTTCAACCTTCTTCACAACTCCTGATTTTAGAAACTTGAACCTTCCATAAACTCATCTTCAGCAGCTGACTGGAGGTGGTCAGTTAAACTGAACAGTGACCTAGAACCAGAGCTATCTAAATAAAGATTGTGTTAAAAAAAAAAAATCAATCACAATTCAAGTCACAAGGCATCACTGTTACAAAAATAGAGTTCAACTGAGAAGGTACTATTGTGTCCAAATGGAAAGCATTTTGGCTTCAACTTGTTTAAAATAGCTTATTGCTTGTAAGTTTAGTGTAATGATGATCTGCGTAGCTGGAATACATGATAACATCTACCTTATCAACACAGAATCATCATTTCATTAAAAGCTAACTAGAAAATTTAGAAGTTCAGTAAAACACATTTTGTTTTCCTGAATTCCAAGTCAATTCACCGCTTGTGCTATTCTGAATGGAGTCTTTCAATATTAAACATCCTGTTCACTCTCTAGACCTTAGCATTTCAAGAAAGGCATTATATGTTTACAAATAATAATTGCATGTAAATATGGTCTTGTATAAAAAACCCAACTTTTAAATTATTTTAAACTGGTTTAAAGCTAAGCATATTAAAGGGCAAACAAAAATTCTGTTTCCCAGGCCATTTTAAGTGAGAAAAGAAACTCCAATATTATTTTGACATTCAGCTAAAACAATGCTTTGAAAAATGCAATCACTATCTCACCTTCCACTCACTGGTTTACAAGGCTTTGTTTCCTGCTCACACAGGGTTTGGACCCAACAGTGGCAATAAAATCCAGTATCAAATACGGATATGCCTTTGTTTAGAGGTAAGACTTTCAAAAGAAGATACAGAAAGAACAGACAGAATGGCTTAACAGTGAGGAAGTGAGAGAAGTGGCTACAAGAGGTATAAAACATACAGCATGCATGTTTTCATACAGCATCAAAATCTTCCTGATGTACACAAAAGAAACAGATTCTCAACTGTTCTGGGGTGTAGAGAGGATTTCTAAAAGCCTCTTCTAACTAACCCCTGTTCAGGTTGCAGTTAAAGGGCCTTTATACAGGATAAGCATTAAAAAGAAGAAAAAAAGGATGTATAAAAAACAGTAAGATCCCTGAACTGAACATGAGGTGTCCCGTTGCTCAAGGGGGTTGCATGTTTAAACATGCACATTAACTGATCTCCTTTCACAGTATGGTCTGCTTCACACTGCAATACAAGTTTCACAACTAATGCAAACTGCAGACAAGCTCATCTGGCTTTTACATCACAGGTCATGGGAAGCAGATCTTTTATTTTCTTCCTGAGACTTTTGGTTCCTGCTACAAACACACACTATGCCAGCCAACTCCCATCTAATACCAAAATGGTGCTGAAGACAAGCGATCAATGCATCAGTGTAAACTATTGTTTTTGTCAGGGCAAATCAAGAGTCCCCAACTAGCCTAAGTAGACACACTGGGAAATAAAGCTGTGCAGCAATAAAGGATTCATAGCCACTATATTACTTGGAATAAGTCGCTGCAACCCAATAGCTAAAGTAACATATAGAAGCAAGGGAGAAAGAAGTAGCATGAAATGTCAGCGGCTCTCTGTAACCACATCCCATGTTACCGATGGTTCTGCAGATGGATGGACTTGTTCTGACACAAGCATTTTCACATGGTACAAACTTAGAAGTAGGGAGTATGCATTTATCATTTTATATGATATTCTTTTATAATCTACACAATAAAAAGATAGGCTTAACTATTCTGCTGCACTTAATGCTATTATTCTTTACCCCTCTTACCCAGTGAGAATAATTCAGGAATCATTTTTGCTATTTCATCCAGAATAAAGTTGTTTGCTTATTTTTCTGGAATACTCAAGTAACTACTCTGATAAATCTCCCTAATCAGAGAAGCCTTAAAATATTTTTTTTCCTGACAAGTCAAATCAGTTTCTCCTTCAAGGTCTACACCTGATATCAGACAGTGGAGTAGAAATGCTGACTATCCTCCAACTTCAAAAGTGGTTCACATACAGGACCAAATAGGAAAAGAAGGCAAGGGGATACTGGATTTTATTTGAACAAAAGGCTTTATCCTGAAAATTTAAAAAAACAACCAAACCCTTGAAAGACACACACACAAAAAAAAGAAACAATGCTTTTTGGTTTGGTAAAGCCAAAAAACCTCCCAGTATGGAGCACCAACTTTAAAGGGATAGTGCTGTTATACTGAAGCTCAGGATCAAAAGCAAGAGGAAAGAATGGTGTCTAGAGAAGACATACACACAAAAAAGAAAGTACATGGAATACAGTAGTTTTTCTGTGTCTTGTAATTTACAGCTAGGAATTGTTTCTCATATTTTTAGTAGCCTTTCAGAAAGCACTGTGGTGACAGAATCACCCACATTTAGCCTGTTGGCATTCAGCTTTTCCCATGGTGTCAATCACTGTTTTATATGAACACCTGTATATATGTAAACATGTTTCCGAAGTTAAAGGACACAGTTCCAAATCCAAGAACAAATTCTGCAGGCTGTTACTGAAGGGCACAGTGCTCATCACAAAAGCTCTGCAAGCACCAGTCCTTAAGGCTACAAAGATGACACATTTCCCATACAGTAGCTGTTAAGAAAACTATGGCTCAGGTAGCAAGAGGTTTTTCCTCATTCAAGCTGCCTTTCCTAGCTCATTCTTTTCAGAAAAAAAAAAAAAAGACAGAAAAAATGCAAATTAACTACACACTCATTGCTTTAGTATTTAAGACCACAGAACAATCTTAAAGAAAAATAAGCAATCTGAAAACTGGCCAGTGTAAAAAAAAAATAAATACAGATCTTTAGGGGGGGAAAAAAAAAAAGCAAAAAGCCCTCAAACATTATGTAAGTATATTATAGAAGCTGTGGGTCAGAAAGGGAAATGATGTCCAGTGGTTGGAAGGTGCATTGCAAAAATACTTTTACATTGATTGCATTCATTTGCATATCAACAAATTTAGAAAAGGTAATTGATAACAGTATGTCTGAGAAACATAATTTCACTAGATACATTTTACAGAGAGATAGACATGATTTACTACATATTTTACCTTCTACTCAAGCAGAGTGGGAAAATTACATTAGAAAAACAAACAAGTACATCAATAGTTATCCAATTAACCCAAACAGCCAAATACTGCTTTTTTGTAATGGATCTTCTGATAATGGATTAAAACATAATTCTAAATTTCTATTAGTTTAACATCAGTAATTCACTCAAATGGAGAAAAGTAGCATATTTGCTTTATTTTTAAATGTCAAAATAAATCTGTATGCTTAAAAAACCCCTTTTGTTCCCACCCTGCTTGCATTACAAAGCCATCAGTCAAAGCCACTAAACTGACTTTCTAGGTTATATCTGTCAGTCACAATACTGTTCAGAGAACATAATGTCCAAAAGCCACCGAAAACATCCAAACCTTGTAGCTTGATTGAGGAGTCTAAACTATCTGAATGACAAGATCAGAGTTCAAGAGTGCTGGCATCAAATGGTATCCAAATTTTGTATCCAAACTAATAACTAGTGGAAAAAACGTTTGTTTTTACAGTAGCCAATACATTCTTTGGAGCAGTCAAATATTTTTCCTAGTGCTTAAAGATGCACTACTATATGAATACTAACCCTAATGGGAGTCAGAATTACCTCCCCAGAAATGCAGCAGTAGAAATCTTAAGCTAAAGGGACACTGTCAGATACAAAATGCAGCATACTGAAATAAAAATCACCTGCTGCTCATACAAAGTTTTTTTTTTTATAAAAAGCATTATTTTCCCTTCACTTACAGTTAAGACTTCAAACATTTGAACATTGCAAAGTAATGCTTATGTCAAACAAAATCAGTTCCTTTTATCTCTTTTGAAAAGTCATTAAACTATTTCTGTACTATTTTGCAAGTACTACTCCTTAAGATATTGGACAATGCACCTTTGAATATAAGGGAAGCATGAAAAAGCTGCATCCAGCTCTGATAAAAAAAAAAAAAAATCAACATTTACACAGGATAACCTTTCAAATCCCCAACATTTATCATTGCCAAAAGTAAAAATATTTTTAACATCTAAAATCTTAATCATCCAATCTAATCTGAGTATGTCAAAAGCATTAAATCATGATGCTTAACATCACAAATACTATACATCACAACTTGTCTCCATGATTTAACAAGGTCTCATTTGTGACAGTGTCAAAATCCCCTGAAAAAAAAAATGTGGTTTTGACACTTCCATACCTTAAGATGGTGTATATAATTCAGAAAGCAGAACCCATCATTCTGCATCTTCTAAAATAATGATGTGGAGCCAAGGTGGTGAAAGACAAGTGTTTTTACCACTACGCTGTCAAATCCTGGAGTAGGACAAGATGCCATGGTCCTGAGCCAAGAATGTCTAAAATGCAGCTTCACTCTATTACTTCCATTGGTGGAGTAGCATTTTTAATGAACCTGGGGTCTAATTTTCCTAAGCTGAGCACTGCTGAGGGTACCACGCAAGGTAACTACAATTTCTTTAAATATGGAAGAAACACTACTGTGAATCTCTCCTGAGGCCCTGCAGATGAATGATCTTGCTTAACTTTTTTTTTTCCTTCAGTTATCCTGGTTATATATGCAATTATCAATTTACCCATACACTCAATGAGTCTCATCCCATTTTAGCTAAAAATTTCTTTTCTGCTGCATGTTTGTACACAAGACTAAAATCTGTATGGGGAAAAGTGTTGTATTCCAATATAGTGTTTTGACAAAGAGGGAAAATAAAGAAATCTATTAAAAATTCTGGCAGTAAAGGGTTTTTTTGAAATTTTTTATAAAACTGTACCAAGGAGTAAACTTCAAAGAAATCAGACAATGCATATAAAAATAGTTTTCAGTGGCTCTGGAGGGAAAAAAATAGCAAAAATAAAAGGAAATAGATGAAAAAAGTTAGCAAATAATAGTTTCTGTTTTTCTTTCTTCACATTACTGAGCATCCTCTAGAGGTTGTTCTGGGATCCCCCTAAAATAAGACATACATAGTTGAACTCAATTCTTACTAGCTTTTATATTGTAAGCCTAGACTCTGGTTATCACCTCAGTTATTAAAAGCTTTTTTTTATTTTTGTAGTTTAGTTATATTCAGGGAACATCACACCTACAGAGAAAGCATAGCACACGTCACAGTCTACTGCCAGGATTACAACACTGCTGCTCTGGCTGTGGTTTTCTATAATCAGTTGACTGGTTCATCTCCATATTTTCACCACTGATACAGATGACAAATGAAAATTGTGATGTCATTAGCTTTAGAACAGGAAGTTCCTTCTGTTATTTCAAATTATATTTCCATTTGAGAGTTCTATGCTGCATAGCTGCTGCTTTGGGTAAAAAAAAAAAAAAAACAACCACAAACTTTGTTTCAGTTGCTTTAAACTAAAAAAGCTTTCAGAATTCAACCTCAAGCCTGCACAGAATGAGTTCTTTGTGAAAAGAGCTACTAATGGCCATTGATCAGGAGAACAAGTCACCTGAGTTCAAAATAAATTTAAAATATTTTCTGGTGTCACCTGTATGAAGTATCTTTCTCCTTTTCACTCTGCCTACTGCTAGGCAGTTATTTCACAGTGCTTAACTAAGGGTTATGAAAACATACAGGTGGTATTATTGAGAAAAAAATCAAGTTTATTTCAGATGTAGCAGGTAGATACTACCAGAAAATAAACCAATAAGCTGAAGCTTGCAGCAAAACAAGCACTCCCCCTTTCCTGGTTTTTAGTGGCTATATTTCCCCAATGATTATATTCTGCTTACAACAAGAATGCCACCGACTCTTTTTTCATACAGAAGTAAATACTGGAATGGGAGGAACACTGACTGCTCAGACAAATCTTACTAAGCCTAAAAATAGTCTATGTCATTGCAATTCTGTAGATCTGTGGTCTGTTGCATACTTTCATAGCTACCCTGGCATCCTGACGTGGCATTAGCCACTGCTTGAACTGTGTCATTATTGATTCAAACAGCAATTCCTGGAAGAATCACTCACATTATATTCTCTCTGTGCATTGTAGTAATGCTGCAGGGTTGCAAGCCATCCTGAGATTGTCTTCTGTAAGCATCCATTGGAAAAATGGATCAGGAAGCTCAGAGATGGCAAAAGTTGAAGGGATCCCCACTAAATCTTATGCCTGGTTAATCCAACCAGCGAGGCACAAGTTAAACATCCGCTCTGCATCTTATTACCTGTTGGTTGAAAAGGTCTTCCTCTCCAAACTCTGCTTCATCCTCTTCCTCTTCGTTCTCTCGCATGACTACTGATTTAGTAACACTTCTCACTGCAACTTCCTACACAAAATGACAGATAAGGAGATGGCCAGTAGTCGGTATCCATCTCTATTTTTTGCTATATCACCAATAAAATACCTCTATTAAATTTTGCAGGGTTTAAAGCCCTAGATTTAACGTTAGCTATGCAAGCAAATACTGGTAATATCCTGCAAACCACAATAACATTACTATTTTTATGCACTAAAAAGCATGGTAATGTAATTTAGCTTTAGGAATGTTCTTTCGTTATCTAGGGATTTGAGAGGAAGCAGCCATGTTTCAGGTGGTCATTACTCAGTTTTATACAAGCTCATAGCAGACCCACCTAGGAGCTGTCTAAGACATACTGTAATGTGAGAAACTAAAATTTCTCAGTATGGTTACACAGCATTAAGAATATTCCGAATTTCTACTAAATATTCTATATTAATTGCATGTATCAGTTATCAGGACAATCTTCCAAACCAGGAACTAAAAAGAGTTCTAAAACCCCAGGAAGCTTCTTTTATTACTAAATTATTTTTAACACTTCTTAGTAGTAAGAAACTCTTCTGTACACTTGCACCCTTGAAATCATAGGTGCAAATTTCTACTTGTGGAAAAAGTCGCCCTAAACATACACTTCTAACCAGGGATATTTGATGTAACCACAGTGGGAATGGACATTTGAAATTTTGATTTGAAATTTTTTCAGATTTCGTTTAACCGACTCTATTTGAATACTTAGCCAGTTAGCTTTCTATTTGTGCAAATGATCCTCCTTTCCGCCTCCTTGCCAGAAGAAAAGGCAGCATGAAAACTGATACAGCTGTGGTCTGTTTCACTTTCCTATTTCTCTCAGATCACTGGAATAATGTCACATTTATGAATAATGGCCAAAGCATGATCCTCCCTTGCATGAGGGTGGTTTAAAAAAAAAAAAAAAGTCAGTTGTGGACAGATGTAGGACAATGAAGAATGCACAGGAATCCATGCCAAACGCAAATTTGCGATATACTCCACCACTGAAAGGACCACTATCTTCCTACATTAATTTTCACACTGTACCCCAGAATACTGTAGGTACTATATACTGTAACTTTGAATTGCCAGCAATACTTATTGTCTTTGTCTCTTCTAAAAATATACTCAAATTCCAAAAAAGTTCTCTACTAGCACGGTGTTTTTCTAAAATAAGAAAAAAAGTCTACAGATGTTATCAGGATGATGATCAGTTTTCAAAAATTTCCCAAAAATCTGAGACACATACAGATCTTTAATTATTTCAGTGTTATAAACTGTCTTATTTTAGAAGACAATAGGGGGTATCTTAAAATCAGGATTTTGTCACTGCCCCCAAATTAAAGAGTTTGGGAGATAACCTGCCCCACAGCTTTTTCTTCTACAGACACAGCCTACCTCTCCTTCAGAGTTTACGAGGTATGTGCGGATATTTCCTCCGGTGCCCCAGCTGCCTTGATTCTTCCACACAAGAACAGAAGGGGGGCTGTGAGATACGCCTGCATCTGCACCCCAAATCTAGTGAGAAAGACATTTTGTAATTAGCTAATTATGCACATTTTATTTTTAAATCTACAGAACTCCCTAATTCTCCTACTTCTAAATTGTTTCTGAATTCCAATGGCATTTTATCCTGCTTTTACCTACACCATTACTTGTAGTAATATATTATTCTCAGTCTACAACAAAAAGTAACACTACTTTTTGTAGTAGTTACAAAGAAAGAAAAAGAAAACTAAGAGAAAAAATTATTTAATATTACAGTCATCAATTCTTTTCTGAATATACAAATTTCTCCTACCACTGTCTCAATGACTATACTGTATGGAGCCAAGACATAAAATGCAGCTTGTAGTGTATCAATTTAATCTTTTATATGTATCTAAGCAATTGATACTTAAGTAGAAATAGCTGGAACTGACCAAAAGAAAGGACTTTTTTTTTTTCCTTCTGAAAGAACATCTGTTGCAGACTAACAATAAAATATGAAACTTAAATTTTTATATTTCATTAAGAGGTTGAGCGTATTAGTGTTCCAAACCTGGCCAAAGGTATCTGAAAATAAACAGCCCTTAACCCACTCCCCAAAACACTTCTTTCTTCAACTTCCTCTGGGCCTGAAATGATCTTAAATACTGAAGTGCTACTACAGAAACTAATTCTGTTCTGCATTTTTATAACTGAAATCCTGCTCCTCTAAAGTGAGATCCATAAAACCAAAAGTTATTTACCAAATAAGGCTGTACCAAACATCAGATTTGCAACTGCCACAGCATCAAAAGAGTATGTTGTTGACTTACTGTAACAGTCTGCCCAGCTCTGAGGACATACTTAGGAGTAAATTTGTAAGCAATTTCTTCTCCATCTCCAATTTGCCTTTTCAGTCTCCAGTTACCCAAAGACTGATCCTAATGGAGAGAGCCTTAAGGTTATTTAGTGTGAGCAAAACAGAGCAAACAAGCATCAGAGCTTTCCTAGGTCTCTTTGCTATTAAAATAATGTGAATATAAATTTATTTACATGGTTGTTAAACATCTGCATTCTAACTTGAAAGTACTTTTCTATACCCAATAGTAGTCGAAAGTGTAAGTCCCATAAAGTCATTCAGCAGAATTTAAAAAGATACACATTTCACACAAAAAAGTTCCACTAGAGCCAGCAAGGCTATTTACATGAGGTACCAGCACACACATTTAGACATTTGGGACACAAACTATGTTCTCTTCCTGCAGCAAACATTAGACTCTGTTAGCACGCTGTAACATTCAACTTTCAAATGCCCCTGTTAATTGTTGCAGGATGCTGCACCTTGAGATGTTGCTCCTGTTCCCCAAGTGACTCCACCTACTTGTGCTACAAAAGGCTGCCTAGCACTTCAGTATAGCTCCTCCACATTTTCTAGGAGTTCTGCTGACACTTACCTTCTCTGAGTTGTTCTTCAGTTGAACGTATTTGCCCTCCAGGTCTATCTCTTCTATGCTGATATTTCCTGTAGCTGAAGCTTGCTGGGACATTTGGAAGCTACTGCTACTACTGCTGCCGCTAATACTTCCAGTGCCAATTCCACTTGTTCCACTGCCTGAAAGCTCCTCTGCTTCAATACGTTTTCTCTTGCCTCGGAAAGAGCGAACAAGTGAAGTACTGCTACTGCTGCTGCTGGAGGTGGCCCGAGAGACTGTTACACGGGAGGAGGGACTCGGAGAGAGCTTCAGCCTTAACACAATGAAGCAAGCATTTTAATTAACTCATACAGGGAGCTACGCACAGAGCAGTTATACTACAACATACTCAGTAACCAGACTGTAATAAGCCCCAAGGCTGAAAGCAGCCTCCCTGTATGTGTCAGGAGGACTGCATATAATAGAAGGCAGGGGGCGGGGGAAGATTTCTCTTAGTACGATTATGTGACATGGAAAGCAATGAGAGCAACACAGATCACTTAAGCATCCCCTCCACTATATCTACTACTAAACACACTATTCTTGAGCCACATCATTTAAAAACAGGAAAACACAGAAGTATAAGCACTTAAAATAAAAAAAGGAGGTGAATGTCAAGCACAAAATTATATATTCCACTGTACTCTGAGACCATTATAGCAATAAAATAAAGACTCTGTTCAGATGAGAACACTGCAAGTGTTCCATGTAAGTGCTCCATGCAACACATTGTGGTGTAAAGCCGGTATAACTTCAGTGAAACAAA